ACAACAAGAGCAGCAACAGCAACAACGAGAACCACCACTGATCGGTCCAAGCACCGAATAGAACACAAGCCGACCACAATCTGCCAAGAGACTGTCCGGGCCCTGGGGCTCCGAAGCAGGACATGGCAAAGCACTCCTTCACCAGCTTCAGCTCATCAAAAGCCTCCTGTGCTCAAGCAAAACCATGGATGATGGAACGTTTACAAAGCAGCTGAAACAAACCGGCTGAAGCCCTCTCCTTCCGCTTGTTGAAAGCTTCAAGGAACTGGTAAGGCATGTGCACCACGATCCGAACATCTATGTTCTCGCATACAACAATCAGATTGATCATGAAATCCTGAGTGCAGGGAGACACATCTCCCCTCCCACGATTACCAACCAGTGAAAGAATGCATGAACCAGAATAAGAGGCAATATGAGGTAAGTCTCCACCACTTTGGAGACCTCTTGCCTCGCCTCTTCCCAAGAAAACGGCCTCAGAGAGAACAGCCGAAGTCGCAAATCGATCGAAATGATGATGATCCAACCGCGACAACATTACTGCAGCGAGGCACATGCAGTAGCATATCCCCCCGGGGTACAATCTCGAAGCCATCTGGAGACCTCAGATGAATCTCTGAAACCAACTACCCACTACCCTTGGCCACCAGTAACCGAAACCGGGAAATGCAACACAGCGACTTGGCCACGTCGGAGGACAATACTCTCCTCCTGCGACCGGTGGTCGCTCCAAAGATGGGCCGTTCTCAGGCCCTCCTGAGAGGACAGCTTGTAGATAACAAATGCAAAAGCAACAGTGCATGTGCTATCCACAACAAACAAACCAACTGAGTATGGCACAACAGTGCATGCCTTCGAAACAGCTTCCGCGCCCACTTCAAGCACATCAATAAATCGCTGATGGTTAAATTCTTGGCTGCTTGGATCGTGGTACGCAGAATCAAAAATCCAGGGAGCGACAGTCTTCAGCCGGCACAGGAACCCATTGCTGGTGCCAGTCGGAAAGCATTCCATTATGCTTACACCAAATCATGGGTGACAGTGAAGCCTGCACATGAAAACTGGTGCCTTTCGCGATGTATTGGTAAGCTCTGGATGGACTGCACTATTATATCTGGCCAAAACAATACATCGAGCCAGCACGCTATTTTGTTAGAAGCACGGTGGTTGAGCAAGCATGCTTATCGAAAGCTCTGAGTTTCCCAAGACTTTGCTCTTAAACCCTTAGACCAAAAACTCACTTCACCAGCGATTTCCCGATTCCCCAGACTTGAAACCCTAAACCCTAAAC